TCGCATCGTTTCTCCAACATACTTTCGACTGCATCCTTCGCATGTGACCAAGTAGACTGTCCCACGTAGCTGGCAGATTTTATTCTCTGTACAGTAGGAACAGTTACTTCGGCCACATTTCTCTTCATAGATACGGGATGATGTTAGCAAGCTTCTCAGATTTTCGGGTGGCCGGAATATTAGCTTGACTGGAAGATGCGACGACTTGATGCTGTGATTCACTTTCTTTGCTATTCTTTCGTTGATATATGGCAAAACCAATGGTACTCCTCCAGTAGCAAAGAAAGGTCGCCATGTTCTTGGCTCGATCGTCGTGTACCCGTTCTCTTCCAAGATCTTCGCTATTCTCCGATCCACCTCTTCTGATTCTCTTGTGCATGTCCGTACCTTCGTAGCGATAAGGTTTCTTATCACGTTAGCCTTCATGTAAAGTGGATGCGCACTTCGAGAATGCAGAAGGATATTCTTTGACATCGGTTTCTTGTACCATTCGATCTCCTTATTGCCATGGTTTATCCGGACCTTCGTGTTAAGGAATGGTAGAAAGCCGCGTTCGTCTGGATGTTCCACCGTGAAACGTATAACAGTAGTTCAATCACAGGATTGATGGCTTCTCTACAGTCCACGTTCGTATACAAAGAAACCGCGTCGAAGCTCGCATACGAAGCATCATCGGGTATCTCACATCGATCCAAAGCTGATATGAATTCTCCTGCGTTAACTAAATGAGCCGCAACATGTTGCAGAAGCGGCGACAGGAGCTTCGTGAGAACCAGCTCACTCTATCCGAAGGGCCTCCACATGACGATATGATTGGTCTGACTTTGACTGAATCTTCGTCACGCGTCGCAAGTCCACTTCTTCAGAGAACTTGTGAGTCTTAAAACGAATGGCGTAATCACGTTGGCACCAATCTGATATGTGAGTTACAAAAGGTTTGGTCCTTCTTCCTATCCACACATCCTTGCTTTAGCAGTCCGTGTTGTTGTACGGTAGAGTTCATTGAGACACCTTCTCGAAATCTTGCAATGATGATGTTTTATAAGTCACGTTATCCGCTATCGCTATCAAGCGGTTATCCCCCGAAATAAACAACAGGGACGAGCTGATGGAGGCAATGAGGCTGATTGCATAGAGGTTGCGATAAAGAAGTCCTAGCAATTGTCACGCACGTCGCATTCTTAGGGACTTTTAGTTGCATTGGAGGTCGGTCAGGGGTAGGTCGTTAATATATGATGGTTTGTCAACTAATGTAGGCTTTTACTATGTTGTATTACAGACCTTAGCGACTTTATTGTTAAGAGGGAGCCCAGTCTGGTTAGTACTTTGATCAGCTTGATTGTTGTAAGGAATTGAAGTACTATGTATGCTTGTTTTATTTGAGGTCTGAAGAAGCTGTTACCACAGCGAAAGCTTACCAATGAAAATTTCATATCGAGTACTCATTGAATATTGTTGAAGAAAACATTAGAACGTATGAGGCTCAGGGATAGCTCAATTCTATCAGGTCCTTATAGGCTCTTTTCTTTTGTTACTGCTATCTATTACTATAATTAATGTCCGCCTTCCTTCTCTGCCACTTGTTGCAAATTATGGGTACTATTACAATGACGTGCGCTATGAATTTCGTGACGCTAGCATACGTTCCATATCTGAGAGATGGGGAGGCCGCGGCTGCCTACTCCATTTCAGCGTAGCGGTGACTACTGTTTCGGTGGGATATTGCCATTTTGCACCTACTGTAGTCATGTTTTTCCAAAACAAGACCTGATGGCTGTTGTTCCGAATGGGAACATCCAACAAGAGGCGCATCATGCCCAATGTTCAAGTGAGGTATGCAGCCCCGCCCTTCCCATTTTCGGGATATGTAGCGTACCTATCGAATCATACCTGTGTAATAGAACTAATCTTTTTTTCGAAAATTGCCGGTCTTCTTCTGTGATATCACCTTGAATTCAATGAAAATATCGCAGTGCTGCAGATATGAGCACAGAATGCAGTTTTTCCATTTCATTTGGAGCGGACTACGAACCTAGGAGATAAGTATAGTTGACATCGTCGCAGCTGGTGGGGGCGGTGTCAGGAGGGTTGGAGTGAGCCCGCTTGCCGCCTCCTTTTCTACCAGTTCTGGTAGGTCAAAGATCGATAAAGGAAGAGAGCAAACCGTGGTGGAGAACGCCGAGGGTGGGCTCATTCCTCTGACATCCTCCCGACTAACTGCGAGGATTTAAACCGTAGCAGGACACTGACTCCGATGATCAGACTTCTAGTAATAACAATTGTAGATATTCCTGACATTCTCAAGGAGAATATTTTTCCAGGTGCGCACTCACCCGGAAAAGTTTGGTGTGACGAAAGTTATCACGAGGACCCACTCGAGTGATAAGATGAGTGCGCTGAACAACAAAAAAGATCTGAAGTATGTTTTCGATTCTGAATTTTGAGGTTTTTTCCAATTTAATTCACTTTTTAAAATCAACATCTCAACCTAAAATTCATCTCAACCTTTCTTATTCAACATCCCAGGCGCCATTCCGTCGGTGGATACGCTTTCAACATGGACTCCCCTGAAGATCGAGCCGCCACGAAAATTCAGGCTGAAATTCGCGGTTTCCTCGCTAGAAAGCATGTAGAAAAGATGAAGAAAGAGGATACAGAAGCGGCTACCAAAATCCAAGCTCATATCAGGTGTGTCATACTACTTTATTCTTTGATTATATGCTTTGGCGCTCTTTAGCTTGGGAGAGGCACTATCGTTTGTTCCTTTTGCTAGTCCACGTTACTAACAGATCTAATTTTGATAGACCTGTAAACACTTGTGAAGCTGTGAAGTGGTACAGGTAAGCTTCATCAGTTACAATAGTTCACGGTTCTTCACAAGGTGGCCTGTGCAGGCTCCGTGAGTCCCAGTGATGCCGCCACCAAGCCAAGCGAAATTTTCGCGTGATGCTAGGTTGTCAAGTGTTAGCGATTTCATTTGTATCCGTGAATGCATAGAAATGGGCATACCATAAGCTTCAGGGTGAGGTCAGTGAGCGCTTCTGAGCAACATGTTTTCCTAATCGGGGAGTGTAACGCGTGGTTCAGGATATTGTACAATGCCTGTTTTCCCAAACTTATAATTTGAATTCAAAATCAAGTGTAGGTCTCCAGCCTCACTCACCCCTTAGCAGCGTGTGTGGCGGTGAGTTCCGGCTCCAAGCCAGAAGGGCGTTGGCAAACTTTGTTTCGCACAGGGCGTGTTAGAACTCGTACATTATTAAGGAGAACACAACTGAACTCCTTGCAAAGAATACCATTCTGCTGCAAACCTTCATGTTTACCGGAGGGAATCGAGCGCTTCCCGGAGCTAAAGTTCATAGTCGGAGGGCAAAAAAGGCGTTTTCAAGTATGCACGTGGTTGCCAGATCGCGACAGCTTCATTCGCGCGCTGATTCCCCATTTGGGTGCATGTGTCTTACCTCTCTGCGCCCTCTCACCCGTCGCCACGCTTGCAACGGCGTACTTGGAAACGCTCTTCTTTGCCTCCAGATATAGTTGTTCTTTCTTTTCGCTGTTTCATGATATGTGAGCAGTTTTTCCTCAGTTGCGGAAGGGTCGATTGTTGGGCTGATTGTGGGCTTAATTGTTCACAAGGAAGGCAAATGTAGGAGGCGTGGCCCTGGTTACCTTGCTACGGTGAGAGCGCCGGAGAGGCTTCGCACGCGTGCGATCTACTCATCAGGACCTATTTATCGTGTAATTATGTAATACGGAGGCGGAGGTGGTGTAGTGACAAGTGGCGCGCTTACCACTCGCGCGGCGCCGGGTTCAAATCCCGGGTCGACTCCCGCCCAGGCCAACCAAGCCTTCTACCCTCCGGGGACGGTAAATTGGTACCAGATTCGTCTGGGAGGATAAAACACTGACTTGTACATCGGCTGGCCACCGCAAGTCATTGTATAGGCCACATCGCATTCAATAAGCCACTACGATTCTGAATGGAAGTAGAATGGGGATTGATAAAGGATACAGTCTTCGAAGAGGCGAAGACTTTATCCTTTATGTGAATACGTCGAGTAAAGTAGCTAGTTAGTACTGTCGTATCACTGAAGTTAACTGGGAGTGGCATGGGTTGTATTTTGGCGCGGCACCACTCCTTTTTCCCCTGTTCGTTGCGGCTTCGGGCGTTCAATCAGTGTGAGATAGGAGCTGTAGCCGCCAAAACTCACGCCAAGCTGAAACGCCCCGATTGACTACAGTGATACTTACTGTATGCCAGTCTTCAGTAATCTCGATAGTAATCGGCTTCCCCACAATGAAGATCTCCTACCCCTTACTCCATGAAGACACTATTTCGTCAAACGGGGACTATAAAGAGCATTCTCCATTTCCAAAGAGTTCTTTTTTCAGAATTTCGTTCTTCTCAATTTTGTGAATTTCAGGGGATTCTTGACGCGAAAACATTTGGACGAACAAGGCCTTCTATCTCCTACACGTTCAAGGAGCCCCCTTCATACGCCTGATTCCGATGAGAATCATAATTGATTTGATTTTTCATGCTATTTGATGCAATTGTAACGTTGGCAAACCCTAAACTAGTAGTTTGTAATTGATGAACTCGATATCTATTGATAATGGAAAACGAGTAATCCATTATATCGCACATTGTTGTTTGTGTTTTTTTAAGCAATTGTGTGTATGTATTGCATGAAGTGAGGAAACGATTTTCAGTCAAACTAAGCTCGGTATATGATGACATCAACAATGTCTGCGTTTTCTCTCGGATAAGATAAAGCTTATCGTCTTAATCTCTGATATTGTCCAGTTTTCAACGTAAAATCGAACATTGCGTTGATTTTGCGGGCGGGATTAGCCAGCTACGCCCACGATCCTCATTGGTAGGGCCGCCTTCGCATCCTGGTGACATTGATGAAAATAGGCGGCACCAAAGCACATATGCAGAGGTTACCCACATGCTCAGCGTGACCTCATACTTGGAGGTTCACTCTGTGCGAAACTTTAAGGCGACTGGCCTAAAGGCATTGATGAAAAATTGGGCCTTCAAAAACTTACCCGGCTTTTATCGTTTCCGCATGCTACACAAGATGAAAATAGAAATTATACGTATATGTACACTCTTTATCCCTGAGACGAGTAGGCGTGGCATTTGAACATGGACTGACATGTCATAGAACGGGTTACTCGTGGGAGTTTGAGACAACTGTCATTTTGTTCTGTGTTGGACGGAGGAGACATGACCACATTTTTGTCAAAGTGAAAATATTTTACCAAATACAGCCCGTCACTTTAGCGGATATAGGTACCAGCACGCCAAACTACATTAAGGACTTCTGAGTATACATACCGCGTCTACCATTTGCCTTAATCTGATCTATCGTTCCCTTTATAAGAATGTTTTTTCCTGAATCCTCGTGAAGGTTCATTTTTGAAGGAAACCGAGTTAGCAGGCACTCTCGCCACCTCTAGGGAACAGTCGTGGGATAGTTGTTTCGGCCTTGGCTGACGGAATCTCTGGATATTGAACGATGCAGAAGCCCAACTGCAGGTGAACCCTATTTTTACAGCATTCCCGTCAGGGTAGTGCATTGAGATACATGCGATTGTCATTTTAGTACCAACCCTGGTCTTTCCACTCTACTGAAACTCTCTCACAAAACGGTGCTCTACTGGCTGAATGTCGTGGCGGACCCGTGTCCTTTATGGAGCCAGAGTCTGAAGGAGCGGTCCTTTGTAATTTTTTATATCACAGACTCACTGTGCCAGTCTTATAACGAATTATTTTGTAGGACTGCAGGTCAAAATTCATGGGTCGATATTCGGTCGTTGCGAGAAATAGAGGGGTGGTATTTAACCTGAGAAAACTTTTTGGTAGTTGCTTTCTCATATTTCACCCTCGCCGCCCACAGCTTTGTGAGATTGCAATTGGGTGGAGGTCGTACCTGGCCCCAAGAAGAATTTTTCTCCGAGAAGATGTTACCGGTTGGTGACATTTCGCGTGTTTTCCTCGTCTCACATTGCGATATAGTGAGTATGTGAGTAATGACTAAATGTAAATAAATGCCGGACTTCACTTATTGATGAACGGCGTTGGGTCATCCACCTACCCTTTTAAAGCCACCCGGTCTCGTGGCTCATGGTCCGATGGCCTCAAAGGGTTCCCTGCCTTACCGAAAAAGTTTTGCGATTCGTGCACCGATTTACGGCTTATCGCGAGATGCCGCACAACTTCAGGCTTCTGTATGCGACCCTTTGGATTGCGGGTACATCGGAGGTCCCATTGAAGATCCCTTGGCTCTACACTGGGACCGCTAAACCCGCCAGCTAAATTGTTTTCTGCTTGATTCGTATCCGTTTGCTTTGATTAAAAACTTCGAAGGACGTTCATTAACGTTCAGACCAACAGATAGTGTTAATTGGCTATCTAACAACAGTTCCGCATAAAACGGACTTTGGCAAGAAACCCACTTGGCGGGATAGTACCTTGACTCCGCCAGTGAACGCAGCAGATGAATCCGCTACGCTATTGCTTACAGCTATCGTGTTGGTTTCAAATGATGTGACGAACCCACCACACAACCATATGCCACGATTTTTGAATGCTGATGAAAACAAGACTCTGTGCGAGAAGACAATTAGATACCCTTAGGTTGTAGAGACAAAGATGCAGCGAGTTGGGCCAAATTGAGAGTTTGTCAAGTTCTTCCCCGCCAAAGCGCCTAGTTTTAGACTCCTGCTGCCCCCCATTGAATTGAAATGAAGAATCCTACGTCATTTCCCTCGTGCCACGCAAATTTACTTGCTTATATACATTCTCATAGACATGCTGTTCCTGTCAGGTAAGTGCACACTGAGCCCTTAACACAATAATTGTGGAGAGAAAAATTTAGATGGTTCACTCCAGCAAAATGGAGGTTTAATGAGTGATTGTTTTCCTTGACCTTTTCAAATTTAACAACTATGTAGTGAAAACAGGCAAATCACTGGATAATACTTGTTCTCTCTTATCGTCATGCGAGCTGCCATAGGTAGCCTGTTGTGTCCATGGAAACGAAAAGGTTCGCCGTAGCAGATGGAGAATTTATTGCTTCAATACTATTCACTCTGCAGTATTCTCATACTTTGGTTCATATCATTAGCACAATAGGAGAAGTTACCCATTCCATTATGAAAAATCCATTCATGCACCAAATACTGACTGATTTCGGGCGGAAACACCAGAAGGTGTTTTATTTTATATTTTGAGCGTATTACTTTGTAGATAACTGGAGAAATGACAGAGCCACCTATTGACCAAGTGAATTTCCTTAAACTAATGATTCTAGTGAGCACCCTAAGGGTTAACAATTTAGACCTTTTTCCGTGTGAACGCAGCCCTGCCCATTTGAGGTGGCTGTTCTCTTCGTCAGGCCACATCATCGCATTGCAACACCCGCTCCTCCCACCCCCCTCCCCTCAAACCTCCTTCTTCAGCACGACCCAGTAACAACTACCTACTATATTGAAACATTTTGCAAAATTTTTTTTCGTCAAGTGGGGGAGCGAGGAGATTGATGGGCGTGGGAGCATCCACACAATGAGGAAAATTTGATACAATTGCGGACCACGTTCCCAGCGACAGAGACGACCACCCTCCCCTTCTTCCCGACTCCAAATTTCAGCAACGATTGGATGTTGCCCTACTTCTTTAGCATTTTGTTTGTTCGCTGTTTTGACTTTCTGTCTTCCGTTTTTAGTCTCCATGGGCCCATTGTCCAACACGACTGCTATAATATTTAATCGTGATTTTTCCCATTATTTTACGCAATTTTCAGTAATTGATGTGAAGTCTCTTGAGGATCCTACCAGGTATAACATTACGTCTTTGTTTTCACGCGACATAAGGCATAAATAAAGCTGTGCAATCTGAGCTTCAAATGTTTCGCCTCAATTGTTGAAAGAGGTCATGACATGAAGTTGACTGTGGGAAGCATCTCGGCGTATCCGAACAATTTATCTGTTTGCTATCTGGAAAGTAGGAACATCACATACGCGTGCGTTGTTCAGAAAACTCAGGTGACTACACTTTTTCGATGTGAATATTTGCAAATAGCGACAAAATCAATAATGGTGCCAGACCTAACGGTTTAATGCACGAACAAAGCCAAAGCGCTGCGACTTTTGTTTGTCTCGATAGGCGTTGATGAAAGAAAACATTCATTATTCATTCCTGTCCAGGTGCATACAGTAAATTGGGATAGCAAGAACGAGAGCGTAAGTTGGGACAGTATCAATATCTCAGACATAAGTACGGACAAACCTGTAAATGTACTCCAGGGTAATAAGTCCAATAATAATGCAATTTGTTCAAAGTATGGAACGAACATGGTGATTCATGAGGATTCTAAAGAGTATTTCAGGCCAGTTTGGTATTGCCAAATGCTCGAACGTTGCCACTTTTGGTCGTTGGAACCACAATCGGAGCTCAGATTTTTGATATGCGGACTCAAAAACTTCTTGAGCAACAACTCATCGATACAGGGATTAGTGTAGGTTTATTGTTACTTACTATTACTCCTTTCCTTTCGTAACAATAAAAACCTGCTCGCTTGAGTACCGTTGGGATCGCAGGTCTATGGGAGCTTTCTATTAATGAATAGTTTTTCAGGAACCTGATGATACCTCATTCTGGAGTAGCTTTTGTCGAGGGATAACTTGTAACGACAACACGATTCTTGTTGGTAAGTAACAGCTCAGGGATGATAACTCATCCACGCTTAAATCGCCCCCTCTCTCAGTTTCTCTTGCGGTACGGCGCTCTTCTGCAATGCCCGATTATTTTACCGAGCGTTCCCAAAACTTGCCGTAGAGCGGGCGGGGGGGAAAGGCGCGGGAAACGTTTATGTATAGTCATAGGGTGAAAATGGGGAAAACGAAACTCAGAAACAATTTTTCTCAATTCAGAAAAGACCCCCTTCTCTCAAGGGGAAAGGAGCAACACTCCTCTTGGGCGTTCTAACGTACGACGAGCCCGAGCCCTGGAGTTGCTTGAGTTGGAATGCTAAGTAACACGTATTTGAAAGTAACAGTAAGGGAAGCAGTGGAAACGTCCTGATTGAGGCCCCCTTTTACGATTTCTATTGACCTCAGTTCGGACATTTACCGTGAAAATTATACTGAGTGCCTGCGAAGGACAGTAAACAAAAGAAAGAAAGATGCCGAAGTTTTGCCGAGCAGGACTCATTGAGCATCCATTCACCTACACACGCGCTCGCTCCACGCTCCCCTGATCAGCTTTTAGCGCCCGCCTTTGCCATGCGGCAATGTAATTCATAAAGTGCGACAAGGCAGTACGTGTGCACCAAATAATGCACTAGGCGTGGCTGCGTACTTCACTTCAACTATTGGCGGCTAGCGCTTCTGGTGAGGTGTACTCGTTTTTGGGACACGGGTGAGCTTCGTACAGCACACGATGACAGTTGTCTCCAATTGAAATATCCCTCGAAACCCATCCTAAGCGATGCTCAATGGAGTCCATGTCCCCTCCCCCACCAACACGTCTTAGGAATATGGAGTGTACGAAGGAGCTGCGCACGTCAAATGTTCGAAATGAGCGAGGAATACGCGAAAAACCCCTTTTTCAATTTACATGGGTCTGCAAGCCCCCGGGGTCTTTCCGCGGATAATCAGGAACAGTGTAATAAGTTCAGGATACAGTACCCACAACTGCCCCTTGAATTGAGTGAGAATCAGAGTGTGCACACAGTGCACCTCGGATTATGCCTAACGGCACCTGGCTCGGAGTGCGGAGCGGATTTAGTTACGGACCTCTTTGACGGCTCCTTCCCCGACCTGTGTTAACGATGCCGTACATGGACCATGCCACGCCAACGGGTATAGACAGCGGGGGCAATAAGAGTACCTCAAACTTGGATGACTGAACCGGCACTGGGCTTTCGACTCCATAGTGGCACCCCCCGGAAGTCGAAACTTTCAACTTGACGCACACTTTGTGGGGACTGTATGTCACCTGTTCTTCTTCACCTTTATGTTCTTCTTATTCAGGGACGTCTATTGGGCATATCATGCAATTCCATTGCAGCGGTGAAACATCTATTACGACAAAGAAATGGCTGAAGGTGAGCGAATCGGCATGTTCTAGGTACCATTTTTCCAAATAAATCAATATAATCAAATCATTTTGTTTTGAATCAAATGCTGACAGCTGATAAGATGCCACGATGGATTTAATGTAGTTACAAAAGTACAGAACACCTTCAGGAGCATACTGCCAGTATCAGTGATCTAGCTACCTGTCGATACGACGATATAACCTGCTCTGGTGATAGCTCTGGAAAAATTAATGTATGGAACAAAAGCATCAAGGGCGTACAACTTAAAATTGCCACACAGTGAGTTACGAGCTATAGGCCATATCCCGGGAATGGGGAGGGCCGTCGCTGCGCACCTCGCTTGTTTGTGGCAGCGGGTATGCTTGTGGTGGCATATTTCCTCGTGGGAACAGTTGTAATCATGTAGTTATCCAGTATAAAAAAATGATTTTTGCCTTGCGCGGAGTTGCCGCTGAACGCATCGTGTCGCCACGGTCAAAAGAAGTACGCAGGGACGGCCCTTCATGTCCAGGATATGTAGTATGTTGTCTTTTGTTGCAAAATTAATTAGATGCGAGTGCATTTTTGGCTTGCATTTTAGATCCTTAGGTCATGCTCGTTGTACCGACACTTTATATAGATTGCTTTTGCACTGGTTTTTTTTGCAGTTTTTGAACGGTAATTGGATGGCTATGCGGTGAGAAACCCACAGCCGTTGTGCTTCTTTCTAATATTGCTACGCCCACCTCCTTCATTACATAGGGTCGAGGGCGTACCAGTCAGAAAGGTTGAGCGGTCGCGAATGTCCACCCATTTCTCCGCTCATTCCGCCCACCGCCGTAATGCGGAATGTCCCTTCAAGGAGAATAAGGAACAGGCAAATATGTAGCCCTGAAGACATCATTGGTCCAGCCTTCACCCACAGCGCAATCATTCTTTGAGCGCCAACAGTAGGTGAAACGTTCTCTTCTGTGCTCTAGTCTTGATACATACTCCACATCCTGAAAATGGAGTGGGCGTGGCAGCATAATTCAGTTAGGCATGGCGACGACTGCGCATCTTTGGTTTGCTTACTTTCGTTCTCTGACAATAGTACTCATTCTTTTGCACACAAAAGGAGAGTTCGAGTGAAAATATCTCACTAAAACGGCATCCTGCGCCATACTTTACGGTACGCAGCCACGCCCCTTCATTTCTTGGATATGGAGTATGGACTTCACCATGAAAATCTGAGTTTCTTATTTTTGCAGGCATCCAATAACGGCTATGAGTGTTTTGCGGAAGCAAGTAATTGTTGGGACACTTCGTGGACGTGTGCTGTTCTATTCAATCTCAGGTGGCGAGCTAATGGCCGAAGTGAGTAGAAGAAATCCTGTTGAAAATTCACTGCCTTCGACACGCATTTCAGGTTCTTGCACATGCCCGAGCCATTACTTGTATTTCTGTGGCACCCGAAAGCGCGTACGTTCTTACTGGTTCAGAAGATGGACGATTTATCGTGTGTATAAATTGCACACACAGGAAGACCTCCAAGCCTATCAGGTAAAGGTCCCATCATGAGGCTCCAACCTCCTTTCAGAACACGTAGGTGGTGGATTTCACCTGTCGATAGGCATACGCGACGGCCATTAGTGCTGCAGAAATCATTGTTTTGCAGAGTCACGACAAAATGTTTGAGCCATTCTAAAAGCAGAGGTCCAGACTACGAGGGGACTTCATGCAAGCCAACCACCCGGGGATGATAACTTGGACCCCCCCCCCTCCCCTCCCCGGGGCCACTCCTGCCACTGGGCTGCGTTTCGCAGAGGTCGAACCGCTTCATCCACAGTCCCACTAGATGAACTTTAGCGCCACTTATTTCTAACTTCTCTGTCCATGGCGCTTCCTAAGCAGTGTTTATCAAATCCGCCTCATAATAATACTAAGGGCATGACAGTGCGGCTCGCCCTCGCTGCGTGCTCCCAGCCCACACCCTCGCCTCTACCCAACCACATTAGCATCCATTAAACTCTGTGTGTCTATGTTATTCATAGCTTTATACTAATAGAGCAGTAAGTGCTCTGTGTGTCTGTCGGAACCTAACAGAGAATAAGTATTGGGCCTGATGTTTAGCTGAGCGGGCGTGTCTCTGAAAACGTCAACAACAAAACCGTTAAAGACACATAGTACGCTCACACGCACTGAGGGTGTATGAGACTAGCCCCTCAGCTGTCGATGTGTCGTGGTCCTCCCGCCCGAACATGCCAGGAATGGAGGATTAAGAGATCGTGAAAACACTCCGCTAATCTTCCATTTGCTCCGCACTTAACCACCTTTTTGCGGCGCAGATTCCCGTCCTTCATACATCCGTTGCAAGCGCGCGTGTCGCGTGCGCGGCTCCTTGGCACTTTGCCAAGTCCTTTAATTGCGCTTTCAAATACAAGTAAAACGCAATTTCCTGATGCGGATAACATTGGAGGTGCTGCAAAATAAGAACAGAAGATGATGACGAGGGTCAGAACTTAAAAGCAACTGTGCCACTTCTGCAACATCCCTCGGAGGCCGCGTATTTCCACGAAACATGAAAATAAAACGGCATACTCGTTAGTTTGATACAAGCAAAACGCAATTTCCTGATGCGAATAAAATTTTAGGTGTTGCTCATACTTCAAAATCCATGTACAAGGAGATGAAGATGACACAGGCTAGAAATGAAGCACAACGATGTAAATGTAAACAAAACAAAAATGAAAAAATCAAGGAAAGGCAAATTAGATAAACTGGCCTGTAAATTTCTACGATCCGGCGCCAAAGCCATAGAAATACTTAGAACAAACGAGTGGGACGCTTGGGGATTGTTTTTATTCTCATGTTTTCTGAGAAT